CCATCTACCATTATTCCGGAATGCTTGTGACCTTCAGTGGAACAGCACTTGCTGAACTGTAAAACAGCCTTGGCACGGACAGACACGGACCACTTTTTTCGCTTATCCGCAAAGCCGTCAGCGATCGAGACGCTGACAGTGCTACCTCCCCCGTTTTGTTTTCCAAACCTGTTCTTCTGTCTTCTCCTGTCTTGAGTACCAGCTCAGCCGTTGCGTTGTCCTTCTTCCTCTTCGCTTCCTTTTTTGTTTGTTTACTACTGCTCAACAGTGGCAATTCTAATTCTTGTCTGTCTCAACGCGTCACCGTGGCTCGTGCCGCAGTGAAGGCCATCACGCCCGCGGAGCTGTGTCAGCCGGCACTGCACCTCGAACCGGGGTGCACAAGTCGAGGTGTCTTTCGAAAGGAAAAGGGAAAAGCCCCGTTGGCATCGCCGGAGCGGGGAGCTGCACGAGGTCGAGCGCCACCCTGACGGAAACGTCAAAAGCATTTTCCTCTCATTTCACTCCAATCCGCAGATGAGTGCTGAGTTGCGGAAGAACCAACACGAACACAACATCTTGCGGGTTCCGAAAGATGGTTACGAGCATCCAGGTGTCTCCTCCGTGCGTGGGGAGGCGCCGCATTTTATTGACGACAGTGAAGTGGATGAGATGAAGGGAGATCTCGATTCCGAAGGGGTCCGGGCATCGGGTTTCGTCTGCTGAGGGTCTGACGAAGTTCGAGCCTTATATCACTCACAAAAACGTGGAATCGCCTCCTCAACACGGATGAGCCGATCACCATCAAGATTTACCTGCGACGCGACCTTTAAAATGCGCTTCGATGTTATCCGACCTCGAAACGGTGCCGCACAAACATTTGGGATACGATTGTTCTCTGGGAATTGGAATGCCAGAGTTTTGCCGACGAGAATGACGTGGAAGAGATCTTGTAATGCGGAAATCAGCTCAAATCTCATCCAGGCACTCCAAGGTATACTGGTCGAAACGTCGGGTGTGAGTCAGGAGGAGATTCACAAAGCGCTCACTTCAGAGCAGAACCCGTACATGAAGAAGCTCGAAGAGCTTCGCGACGTCAAGAAGCACAGCGACGTGAAGAAAAGTACTGCAACGCTTGCGGCAAGTACGGGGACTTGAGGTCAGAGTGCCTCAGCCCTCAAAAACCTGGCTGTTACCGGCCGTCAACGAGCACGGGAAAGTGAAAGAAGCACCTGCAAGAGTTCTCGCGGTTCAAGATGGAGATCATGAAAATAATTCGGACGCGCGCCGCAGCACCAACACCAAAAGGTGGCGGTACCATTGTCAGCGTCTCGACCGCTGAAGGCTTTGCAACAAAGAGAAAGGGCCCGTGTCTGTCCCCAAACAAATCTTTCAAAGCACTACAACTGTAGCTACAGTGAATATGATAATCACTGAAGAGAGTTGTCGAAAAGGAAAAACACAGGTGTACGATTGGAAGTAAACTGTGAACAAGAGATACTGTCGAGTTCACCACATAAGCTTTCAAGGTTCAACCCTGCAGGAGTCCGTCGCGGCAAGTGATCCACCGCGAGAACAACGGTGTCCGCTTCCAGCGTGTTTATGTGGCGCTGCTCTGCTGCGGACCATGCTTCTCCAACGCTCATGATTTCTTGGGGCTCGTCCCGCATCAACACCGCTCCCCAACCGGCTCCAGAGGTATCGGTGTAGAGGGTCATCATCGGCATTCTCGTTGCCATGACCGGCGCTATCGCTCGTGGACGGTTCTTCTGAGCCAGGTCGTACCACTATTTAAGTTGTGCATGCCCCGTTGGGCGTGTGCAGACCGGCTCCTTCACCAGGAGAGGTGTCCGGCTGAGCTGAGACAGCCTTCGTCTAATGAGCTCTAACACCCAATGGAACTCTGCGATGCGGATACGTAGGAATGACGAGCTGCGGAGGAGTTGTGCGTACAGTCGCTCCAAGTCGCCGCACGTCATGCTTGGCGTCGGACCACCAAACATCTGGATCGAGTGATCTGCCACGCCCACTTTGTGAGCTGAGTAGTTGGAAAGTGCTGGAGAGCTTTTCGGGATACTTGTTGTGGGGAGTGGTGACCCCTGGCGTTAGAAACTGGTGCCTGTTGTGTGCGTTGGGCGGTGTGCAAGGCAGTCTGCTCCAAGGAGGTTAAGGAGATCGTCCACACACCGGCGGATCTCTGGTCGAGTGCATCATCCAATCTTCTGAATGTTCAGAGGCGAAACTTCCACGACGTGCAGCGGATGTTGGAAGTCCTCTTCCATGATGGCTGCTTTCTTCAGTTTCCATGCGCCTCGACCGAGGTAGCTGCCGCGACCTGCGACGCCTTCTTCTCCACGTCATTGCCGTGCAGAGACAATAGCATTCTTCTGCAAGCTGATAAAGCTGGTATTGATAATGATGTGCCGTGGCTGGCCGTGCGGGGTTGTCGCTGTCTATTCTTTCGCCAGTAGACAGGTTTCTTTCTTGTGTTTGTCGGTGCTTCATCCAAAAGGGATCTGCTATGCGTTTCGCGATGTCGAGAAGGTGGTCTTGGTCTTCTCCATCTTCATAACTCGTAAGAGTCGTGTTGCCTTGTGGGTTCCGATCACTTTCGCTACCGTCATGTATTCGGCGATGTAGCGAGTCGTGTTCTCCCGCATTGTGGCTTTGTCATCGCCATGCTTTGCTAACAGCGGCCTTGGTGCTGCTTTTTGGTTGATGCAATGCTCTGCACCAGGATGCGTCAAATATGTCTGCGGTTTTGCCACATTCTCTGGGTCGCTCCCGCGTAAATCGTGGCCACCGTGGGTGTCGTTTTGAAGCGACTTTATTTTGGTTTGCAAACGGTTTCTTCTGCCCTCTTCTCTCCTCTCTCCTTTCCTCTCTCCAGTTAGTGCTTCAGCCTTTGCGGTTTCCCTTTTCTTCTTCGCCTGCTCTTTGGGTCTGCTGAGCAGGCGCACTTTTTATTCGTTATTCGGCCCTCTCACCGTCCCCCGGAGGCTCCCATCACAACCTGGCAGGAGACTCTCTCTCTTCGTTTCGGTTAACCTGTCTGGCTTGTATCCGTTGTCTGCTCTCATCGGCACTGATCAAAATCAGCAAAAAGCCTTCTCTTCGGAAGACCCTTTCCGGAGCAACGGCTCTGCATGGGACCGCCGTCAGGCTCAGGGTAGGGAGTTTTCCCTTTAGCTACTTGCGCATCTCAAAATGAAAACCCTCTTCAAAGTTCTTCGCTCCTCTCAATCCTTTTCTCTGTACCGGCCGGGTATGTAAATGAGGGGCTCTTTGTTGCATCGTTTCGATTAGGAAGGTTAGGAAGTCAAGAGGAAGAAATGCCACGACACTTGTGTAATGCATAACTCGCAGGTCCTCATCTACCGCTGCCCGTACGCTCTACTCCCCTCGCAAGCTCAGAATGACCTACAAAATAACGGCACACGTCAACGATAGAATTGCCTAGGATTTGCTTAGGAAATGAGGGTACACGTCATCAGTTTCTACTGGTTGGAAGCGTTGGTGTCGGCTCCCTTGGGTCAGCTGCGTTGTTGACCGTTAGAGCGTTCGGTTCGGCCGTCGTGGTATCGTGTCTTCTTTCTTTGTTTTGGTTGAAGTGGCGAAGACCGGGGCAGTGAACTCGACGACGTATCGGGTTTCAAGCTGACTTGCAGTCGCACACCCGGTGGTTTGCCTTCTCCCGGGCTGCTGTGGAAGCCGGGTCGAGGAATGATTGGATGCGTGGATGGTAATGGGACGTGAAATGTATCCGCAATCCTGTGTTCTAACCTTTTTCCCCCTTTTCCCTATGTCCCGATGACGGTCTTCAGCTGTTGTAATTCTCCGTTGCTTCTCTTCCCGCCCGCCCAACTTCCTTCTGCCGCGCTTTGGAGGCGGATTTGTAAAACAAAGCGACCACTTCGTTCGTAAGCCCCAAAGAACCCAAAATGGGTATTTCTGATCTTTTCCCAGCAACCTCACCACTGGTTAAGAGTTTCTCACCTCCTGTACTCTCGCCAGAAGAAGGATGCTGCTGCACCACTTGAATCATCTTCTACCGAACCTTTACTGTCAATTCTATTTCCCTCCCCCCTCTTCACCGTTCTCTACCTATACCATCTACCATTATTCCGGAATGCTTGTGACCTTCAGTGGAACAGCACTTGCTGAACTGTAAAACAGCCTTGGCACGGACAGACACGGACCACTTTTTTCGCTTATCCGCAAAGCCGTCAGCGATCGAGACGCTGACAGTGCTACCTCCCCCGTTTTGTTTTCCAAACCTGTTCTTCTGTCTTCTCCTGTCTTGAGTACCAGCTCAGCCGTTGCGTTGTCCTTCTTCCTCTTCGCTTCCTTTTTTGTTTGTTTACTACTGCTCAACAGTGGCAATTCTAATTCTTGTCTGTCTCAACGCGTCACCGTGGCTCGTGCCGCAGTGAAGGCCATCACGCCCGCGGAGCTGTGTCAGCCGGCACTGCACCTCGAACCGGGGTGCACAAGTCGAGGTGTCTTTCGAAAGGAAAAGGGAAAAGCCCCGTTGGCATCGCCGGAGCGGGGAGCTGCACGAGGTCGAGCGCCACCCTGACGGAAACGTCAAAAGCATTTTCCTCTCATTTCACTCCAATCCGCAGATGAGTGCTGAGTTGCGGAAGAACCAACACGAACACAACATCTTGCGGGTTCCGAAAGATGGTTACGAGCATCCAGGTGTCTCCTCCGTGCGTGGGGAGGCGCCGCATTTTATTGACGACAGTGAAGTGGATGAGATGAAGGGAGATCTCGATTCCGAAGGGGTCCGGGCATCGGGTTTCGTCTGCTGAGGGTCTGACGAAGTTCGAGCCTTATATCACTCACAAAAACGTGGAATCGCCTCCTCAACACGGATGAGCCGATCACCATCAAGATTTACCTGCGACGCGACCTTTAAAATGCGCTTCGATGTTATCCGACCTCGAAACGGTGCCGCACAAACATTTGGGATACGATTGTTCTCTGGGAATTGGAATGCCAGAGTTTTGCCGACGAGAATGACGTGGAAGAGATCTTGTAATGCGGAAATCAGCTCAAATCTCATCCAGGCACTCCAAGGTATACTGGTCGAAACGTCGGGTGTGAGTCAGGAGGAGATTCACAAAGCGCTCACTTCAGAGCAGAACCCGTACATGAAGAAGCTCGAAGACAAATTCTACCGTCTCTGCACGGCATTGACGTACAGAAGAAGACTTCCCACATCCGCTGCACGTCGCGAAATCTGCACCTCTCAACTTTCAGACAATTATGTCACCTAACTAAGAGAGAGAGAGAGGGTGGAGGAGAAGGATTTGTTCTACTTTCTGGGGCCCCTGCTTCGCATGCTCCCTCAGAGTACAACATATCGGTCATTACTTGCATTATTCATAGTCAGTGGCGAGACCAGCTACCCCATAGTCTCCAACGGTCTTGTGCACAACAGGGCAAGCCGTATTGACCAAGCGGGGCAACTCCATGCCAGGCGCATCTCTCGCCACCACACGACCATCCACCACCTCTTCCCCAAAGTTACGTGAGAGGGAATCTGCGGGGTTCATCTCACCAACGATGTAAAAGAACACCACTCGCACGCCCGTCTCGAAGAAAAGAGAATTGGTGTAGGCGTACAGGTTGTTTAGGTACTGCCCACGTCCAATACCGCGAAAGCCACTTTCACATCTTTGCGCCAATGCAATCGGGTAGTGATCCGTCACTACAGCGACGCGTCTTAAAGCTTACGGGTACGCCGCGAGAATGTACCGTAAGAACAACAAAGCGGCATGTGGTTCCGCGTTTGCTGAATGCCGTGCGTTGAAAGGGATGCGCGCGCCCCTCGCATCCACTGCGCCGCTCGCACTGAGGTCGTGGCTCCAGCGCTGCTGAAAACCGCGCGTCGTGCCGTCTCTCCAGCGGGCGATAGCACCCCAGCCCGACGCCGATGCGTCTGTGAACACGATCAGGTCGTAGTCCGCGTCGAGGTAGGTGGCTCCTATGGGTTCTGCAATGGGCCAGAAACAGTTCTCTACCAAGACGGGCACGATGCGGTCCAACGCGGATCGGATGGAGCCGCTGACAAACGGTATCAGTGCATCCCAACTC